TACGTCTTTCAGCCATCCATTATGACTGACTCAGGCTCGGATCAAACGAGTATCGGTACGTCCGACTCCGGATCGAGTAAGTCGATATTTGAGACGCAGTCTACTCTGAACGAGTGGGTGGAGAAAGCCAACTAGTGTACCCTCCACTGTGGCGGGGTCCCTTCTCTTTATCGACTTCAAAAGAGGGGCACCTTAACTAGGAACTCACGGTGGCTGGCTGCCTCCGCCCGTTCAGTCAGCGTGGACTGTTCCTAATGCACCAGTTTCCTTGATCTACTCGTTTCTAAATGATTCTTTAGCATATTTGACGCAAATATCGGAAGAGGAGCCGGCAAAATCACCTGGGCGACCACCTGGTGGCACGTTATCGATCCAGGACTTCGTCTTTATCAAAGTTCTCGGCAAAGGATCTTTTGGCAAGGTTCGTATTTTCTCTGTAATCTCGAGGGTAGAGCTATACTGACACAGGTGGCGCAATACCAAAAAGCGCCACGCTCGCTCCACTGGGATTTGATCTTGTGAGGCTTTTCAGTCCTCCTTTCCTCCGTAGAAGTGATATTTTTTCCAAGATTCGTACTTTTGCGAAGGAGTGAAAGAGAGGCACCTCGGCTGGTATAAGCCCGCTATATACCCTCCTCCTCATCCCCCCCCCTCCGGTCACCCGCTCGATGGCAGTTTTCTGGAGGTAAGGTGGGAAAATAAAATTTGAAAGGTTGTAGATAGCGCGTGGAAGGGAAGGGGGAGCATTCTAGGATAGGGGATTTTGAGGAAGGGTCGTATTTCGTGGAAATAGTCCCAAAGGAAGGACATTGCCCAAATCATTATAGCCGTCATCGTCCTCTTCTCGCTACACCACCTGCAAAATCGTTTTCGTCCCCACGCGCAAGTCGAATGTTTCCACCTGGGCACAACGTACTTGGGATCCCCAGCAGGGGAGGGGTCGTATTTGGTCGCTGGGAAAATTTTCCTGGTAATTGATCTTCTTGTTTTAGGGACGTTGTAAAGGAGTGGGGTTGTATTTCGCTTTTGACCTTTCGAGAGAAGTTGCTACTATTCGTGGTTTTCCTGTTTCGCGTGTGTTGTGTACCACCCCCCCCCCCTCCTCTGCTCCGGCTCGATGAGGAGGGAACCAAGGGAGGGGTTCGTACGGACTCATCCAAAATCCCCAACCAATGTGCCCTGGTTTCCACCCTCTGACCCTCAACTGAAAGAAATTTATGGACGTCAACTAACTCATCCATCTAAACTGTTTCTTGGCTGTTTAGGTAATGCTGGCTGAGCGACGCGGCTCGGACGAGGTATATGCCATTAAAATCCTGAAGAAGGACGTGATCGTGCAGGACGACGATGTCGAATGTACCATGTGCGAGAAGCGAATTCTCAGCCTTGCCGCTAAACATCCATTCCTTACAGCCCTTCACAGCAGTTTCCAGACGCCTGTAAGTTCCATTCCTTTGCGTTTTTAATAGTCAGAATGGTCCTATGGAAAGCGTGATTCAACTTAGGATCGTTTATTCTTTGTAATGGAATATGTGAACGGCGGTGATTTGATGTTCCAAATACAACGTGCACGAAAATTCGACGAACCACGAGCACGATTCTATGCGGCTGAAGTGACGTGCGCTTTGCAGTTTCTGCATCGTAACGAAGTCATCTACAGGTATTCAATGATTTTTTTCCCTGAGGTATATTCTGCGCTGGTTGCATAGGAGGAGACAGACGTGCGATTGAATCTTCTCCTGTCTGATACGGTAGAAAGAACGGGCGCGCCCATGGAAGCCGCGATTAGGCTCTGTTCCGCCTCAGTAAGTGGGGAATATGTCCTTGATAATGTCTTGCCCTCCTAAGGCAACTATCACGACAACGGTAACGGCCGGTGTTTTAACATGAATTAGCAAAAAGAACTAGCGAAAGTGCAAATGCCCCTCTCAAACCGAACAGCACTCTATCTTGGTTATCAAACAAACCCTAGTGAACATGACTATGACCAGGGGAGATCCATGAGGTACACCCAAAACGTGAGATTTGATAGGTTGTGTTTTTAACGGGATATTTTTTATTTTAATACAATCCATGGTCATGTCTCTGAACAAGATGACAGTTGTCTCAAAATGAAATATTCCAAAGAGTAAGCAATGCTGTCGGAGACCTTGCACTTATTGGTGTTAGGCTCAAGCAGATGGGACAGACTGAATAAATACTGTGGAGCTGTGAGGGGGTGGGCTGATGTGCTGGCGCCGTTTGTCGTGTTACCGCTGCCTCCAAGTCCAATTTATTCAGGGATCTCAAACTGGATAATATTCTTCTGGACGCTGAAGGGCACTGTCGACTTGCCGATTTCGGTATGTGTAAAGAAGGCATCAACAAGGACAATTTGACCAGCACTTTTTGCGGTATGTCATTTTGGATACTCTCCAGTGAAAATACCATTTTCTTCTTTTTTACTTTGCTAGCTTTTTCGTAATTTTTTACCCTTTTCCTTTCTCATAAAAGCTGCAGTATTCGCTTGATGCTTTGATAAACTTTTCGGTCTCAGCGCGTCTGAATGCTACGATGGTTATAAAGGAATTTCTGGATTCCGTGCTCTTGATGCTCTTTCTTTCTTAACATCGGGGCAAATTTGACCCCGACGACAATTATTACCGCAATAGCCTTCACGTTTATGGTCTCAGCTAACTTATTAGTACTTTTTAGGTACTCCTGACTACATCGCACCGGAGATCCTTCAAGAACTCGAGTATGGCGTGTCTGTTGATTGGTGGGCCTTAGGAGTGTTGATGTACGAGATGATGGCCGGTCAACCGCCATTCGAAGCCGATAACGAGGACGATCTTTTCGAGGTAAAGGACACTTGCTGAAAACTTTGTCGCGGTAGTGCCCATCGGGCTTTTACAAAAATCTCACTTTAGCAGGGATTACAGTTCTCATCTGAGGGTAGCAAGGGGTGTGGCTGCGACGGTTCTGAGAAAGGAAGGCAGAGGTGTATGCATAAAAGGGGAGAGTTGACACGAGCATACGCAACGCTGCCGGTTTAGTTGTTGCGTTCATGGGAACGTCCCCTTCCGCTATGGACGCTGCACCGTTCAGCCCACGACGTGGTTTCGGCTATCCCTGGAATATTCAGTTTTCAAACCGAAAATTACCTTTTGGCAAACAAAGGCCTGCATACATCTGTGGAATGCTACCCGCAAGTCACCCCTCCACTCGAGTCTCGCTACTTGGAATCACATAAGCTCTCGGATCGCTTATAGTAGGGGGCGCTGTTCTTGTCTGGGGGAGGGGGCATTCAAGAGACTCCTTGTGAGCATGTGGTACTATGCTACTGTGAGAGGTACTATGCTATATGAGTACTACTATGAGAAAATGGGAATTTTCTCATCAGCCTAGGAAGGGCTGGAGCCCTAGGGTGGGTTAATCAACTTCTTCGCGTAAAAAGGTGATTTTGCGCTGCAGTAATCCCGGTTTTGCACAAGGATTACTTTGTCCTCCTCCCCCTCCCCCCGAGGGGTCAGTACAAAAAAAATCTAGAAGAAAGCCCAATGCATGTAGTGAAGGGTCAAATAATTCATTTGCTGTTTGAATCATGAAAAGAAGTTTTTTATTGTTTAGGCAATTCTGAATGACGATGTGCTCTACCCGGTATGGTTATCGAAAGAGGCAGTCAACATCCTGAAAGCGGTGAATCTCATCACTATTTTTCTCCCTAACTCAATTTCCTGGCCTCTCAAGCGATCTTCTTTGTTATATTTTTTATATGCATTTTGTATTGCAGTTCATGACGAAAAATCCGTCGAAACGTCTCGGTTGTGTGCAGTCACAAGGCGGTGAAGACGCAATTCGAGCCCATCCCTTCTTCCGCGAAATCGATTGGGATGCTCTTGAAGCACGTCGTGTCAAACCACCGTTCAAGCCGAAAATTGTGAGTTTTCAAGGACTTCAGGCATTACGTGCTGATCATATGGGCGGAGTCGCTTTGATCAGTGGGCGTGATTTGTTGGTGCGCTGCTTCTTCTTGAAACTTACAAGGTGGGGAACGAAATGGCTCCTTGTCAGATAAGATTGTGCAGTAAACGCAATGAGTGAGGAAAATGCTCGCGGTGCCACTTGCTGCTGAATGTTAGCACGAGTATCTGGGAGATGATCTCGGCCCAATCTGAGCCCGATTACCGTAGCGCTGGCTAGTGCCCTGGATACGGGGGACACGCGGCTAACTGAGGCGGTACAGTTGATATCGTTGTGAACCTGCGGGGCGGCGTCAGAAGGCGTGAAATGAGCCCACCAGTGGCTGTGTTTTCCACCAATAATGGTCGGTTCAGGTAGGAAACAGCCGGCGATAGAAACGTCGCGGACTCGCTAGAATCTATCCGCGTCGCGTCGCGAACGACACGAACGCGGATAGATTCCAGTGAATTACGAAATATTTCACGGACAGTTTCCGCTGAGAAGCCTGCTCCAGTCAAACGCAGAAAGCGCAGGGGATTGGGGAGGGGGCGTTTTAGCTGCCTTCGTTAACGACTGCGCAATGCTCTTGTAGAGCTCTTGTAAAGCTGTACAATAGCACGATCTTTATTTACACTTCACAAGAACCTACAGGTCACGTCAACTCGAGACAAGTAATTCAGCAATAACTAGTAAAAGAAACTAAAGAAAGTGCAAAATACCCCCCCGTTAGCCAACAGCGTTGCCAGAAATCTCTTTGTTCGAAAAATCGGGTCGTCTTTGGCCGACTGAGGCAACTCTGCTCTAATCGCGCCTGGAATTTAAAAAAAAATCAATTTGTCACGAAAAAAAACAGGCACAGCTTCCTGAGGAGCGGACGATTTTTTATCGAGTGATGCAAAAAGCCCTGTCTAAATATTTTTCTATTCACACAAAATTACTAATTGAATAAAAAAACGCAAGCATTGACAATCCATGCGCGCAGTACGCAGGCGACACTCCAGCGATAAGGTCGTATGCGTTGCTGTGAGAAGGTGAGGGCCGGGTCACAATAGGCCTCCTAAGAATCACGCAGCCAAAAATTCTCTTGTTATTGGTTTTCCGGCTTCTTTGTCATTTTAGTGTCAGTATATTTTCTGGCGGCTGGGCCGATCATATCAGAGCGCACGAAACTTCAAGGCGTCAACTTTCGTTCACGGTAGCACGCTGCCCTGGGGCGCACCATTACATTATTCAGACGCAGTTCGCAAGGACGGGCGAGAGGAGCGAGGGTGGAGCATCTTTCACAGTTTCGGCCACTTCACTAGTTCCGGTTTACAAGTCTCACTCTGGTGAAACCTGTAAACTCTTGTGAAGCTGGAGCAAGCTTGTCGAGCCACCATGGTAAAACCTGTCAACTCGAGAAAAGGCTGTCTAGATGAGTGGACACGTTGATGGAAGTATTAAAGGTGCAAAATGCCCCCCACCCCGTTGCCGAACTGTCCCCATTATCCATGAGATTTCCTATTTTCATACTGTTGCTTTGCCTTTTTCAGAAGTCCAAACGTGATGTGAACAACTTTGACGCCGACTTTACCAAAGAAGAGCCAGTATTGACGCCCACGGATGTAGCCGTGGTACGGTCGATCAATCAAGAGGAATTCCGCGGATTCTCATTCGTCAATCCACATTTTGTCTATTGAGAAACTCTTCAGTATTACCGTGCTAGTCTCTTTGAAAACCGGTGTGGTCTCGAAGATCTAAGCCTAACCCTTTCCAGAACCCTCTCAACACATCAAGTTTTACCAATCTCACCCCCTCTAACCAACTACTTAACACATCTTAGGTAAACATGGGCCAGGCCCCAGATCTTCTGGGCAAGTTGAAACCGTTGTCTGCCTTTTAAAGGGACTAATACGGGTGCGGTAGCTCTCTAGTCGATCTAGCACATATATTTTATTTCCCCTGCGTCTCAATACGTTCTTCCATTAGTGTGTTTGCTGGCTGCTCTCTCGTTTTTCCAAGAAATTATTCCACATCGATTCAGTCTCTGTACCATTTTCTACCTGATACATGCCACATCGATTGATCTGAATCCTATTCTCCTCGAAAAGAGCCCATTATTCCCCCTTGTGTGTCTACCGTATTCCGTGGTCCTCGCCTATCGCACGTTCCCTAGCAAGGACCATCCCTGCACGTTCCCCCACCCCCACTCTCCGTCTGCTTGCCTCACGCGTGCGCAAACTATGTATATGTATTGATTAGTTGATTCTCTATGCGCCTTATTGGCCATGACCACGCCCATTTCTATCTATTGATCATGTTCATCATCATGTGCATCATGTTTATACATTACATGCGTCTTTACTAGTCATTGTAATTCCTTGTTTTGTTTTCATTTTGTAGTCTTCTGGGATCGCGCGGTCAAAACACCTTGCAGAGACGCGCGGCAGTGGCGGCGCGGCACCGTTTGATCGATCGATGTCAAGCCACCACGCCGCGCCCCCTTCCGCTGAAACCGTTCATTCCTTACCAGGAGGCTGCACGAATAGTGTGATGTTCTATAGCACGTAGTCGTCCATCAAACATTCCTTTTGTTATAATCAGGACATATTTTTATTTTTCTATTAATTAAATCATCCTCGAATTCTCGGCGGCCTCGCTCCTCGTTTTGCAAGTCCCTGTTCTAGTCAGAAAACTTGCCCGCCCTGAGTTTCAAATGTGGGTCTAATAGTACATTCTATAGAACTAGTCATTCATGGTCAGACGAAAGTAGCCCTGAAAGTAGAGCGATTAATGCGGAAAAGCTCTTCTGTAGTACCCTGCGGAGTCAAACAGTTTGATCAGTTTTGGGTTATGGGTTATGACATGAGGATTGGGAGCGAATAGAGTTTGGGGTGCTAGGTAGGCAAGTATGCCACGTCATGTCTGCTTGTCTGCCTCCTCTCAACGAAAGAGGAATGGTGTGTGAATCCACTCCAAGGCTTGAAAAGGCTTGAGTGGTATGATCATGCCAAACCCCGGCACCTTCGAGCTGTATTACTCAGCGCTGCGCCAAAACTAGACTATTGCGTGCATGGCTGCGTGTTGATTCATGTTCGTCGCACGCGGAAATCGCGCGCGACGTCGCTTGTGACGCGGCGACGCCGCAGTCCTTATGTCTCGACCCGCCCCTGCCAGCCTTGCCGTCGTCGCCGCCGCCTCCGCTTTCTCTCTTCTTCCGTCCTTACGTCTCTGATCAGATGAGCTTTAACCAATATTCTCTTCATATCAGATGCCATGGTCGTCTTCCTGTTTTGTCTTGTGTCCCCGCCCATTCCCTCATTGTTGTGCTCTGCCGTGTGGCGCGTCGCGTCGCGCGACGCGGTCGCTGTCAGGCAAAGTACATCAAGAGGCTTACTCTCAATACTTAAAGAGTAGCACAGACCACATGAGCAGCATCAGCGCATTATCCGTTCATCTCTTTCTTCTTTCTTATGATATTGTAGCTGCCATTAAATGGCATCTCGTTCATATTACACATGTGATAGTCGCCGCTTGGCGACTCAACTATATTCAACATCAAAGCTTCTTCTTATTATTATGTTCATGGCGCCTGTAAATGAAATTTATATTATGGTTGTGTGTTCACACTTTGAACCATTGAGGAACTGCTAACGGACTTAAAGACACATTTCTCGATCATCAAATGGAAATACTGTGTCTTGCTCCGTGATTCACCTGTTCTCCTTACTCTGACCCGGACCGCAGGAAAATTGCAACATTCGCGAGGCTCCGCCCATCCGATAACCGCGGAGTGTGTCCAAAAATCAGAACTTGGTGAAAATGTAATCTCTACTTCCATATTTTTAATTTGTCGCATGTGTCGCACAGTATTTGCTCGATGAATGAGTTAGAGTATTCATGCCGCAAAGAAATCCAGAACTGATGTGAAAATGGCGGTTAGTGCAACATTCTGTGAATAATACAAGAGGGCGGAAGATTCATAACTGCATGGTCTTTGCTTCGTGAATATCACTTTTTCTCCATATCTAGCGGAAGGTGGGGCGCGCTAAGCGGCTTTTTTTGACAGGAATTCGCCGATGATTGGGAAGCTCTGCACCATCCGATGACGCGCGAAGTGTAAGTAAAAAGAAAAAGTTGAAATATTAGGGGAAAACTGCAGGTCGCGGAATCCCCATATACTAATTCTAATTTTTCCAGTTTCACTCGATTGGAGTGCTTCTTATGATTAGATGAAGGAGCTGGTGCATTAGAAGTTTTAACGTGAACTCTCGAGTTCAAGACACATTTTCACTAATAAAGCAAAGTGGGGCGGAGAACCGCACAAACACACTGTAGTTTTTGTCCACATGGTTTACCTCCACCTCTTACTACGAAGGAGGGACGTACATGAGGAAATCGCAATGACTGCGCTCCGTCCAGTAATGCAGAATGCACACAAAAAATTAGTAAAAATGAAGAGAATTCTTCATTTTAGCAATTTTTTGTGTGTATTCTGCCGCATTTGCATTTGAAGCCCATTTATTAATTTTTTTTATGAGTGCTCCACACGAGTGCACCAAGGTTTGTTCACAACGAAAATCCAAATCATCAAGTGAACACGGTGGTAAAGGCATGTTCCACGCTTATTGTGTGGGCGGAGTTAGGGAACCGGGCGTTAGTAACCGTAGAAGAAGTTCCTGCGCGAAATTAGGGCTTCCGCAATAAAGATGAAGAGTTCTGCTGCCGAGGGGTGAAGCGAGCAAGAGCAACTTGGATTTCTGAAATTCCACTCCAGACTTGAAGGGAGCAATCGATTAAGCCCCGGTGCAAATTCGGCGCGTGTGAGGCTACTTTCAACGTCTCTTTAGCCTCCATTGGTATAAGATCCATACAACCAGCATTATGCGCTCAAGTAGCTCTGGCTTGAAGAGGAAGGTCAGTTCGCAGTGCCGGTCTCACGAGAAAATCCCAAGCCATATCGGTCATCCTTCATGGCTCTCTAGCCGGACCACGATTTTTGACATTTTTCCGTAACCAATGAAGCCGTTTCCTGAGCTGAGTCTGAATCGTTTCTCGAGCCTTTCAACAGGACAAAAGCGCGTGGCAATCACTTCCCTTTAAGGGCGTGTACATTGAAAAATACTGTCTAGTTAGCAGTCGAGAGGAGGCCATCAAATGTCGAATGGTGCAATGACAAATGCGCAAGGTTATCAGAGGTTTTCAGCTGGCGGGATATACGGAGCACCTCGAAGTCGAAAGACCGTTTAGGTTAGCCGATGCGCTGTCTACTGGCTTGTCCACAGCGGGGTTGTCCTCGCGTCTGCGTGGGCAAGACCACAGTGGAATCGGAAGCGATAACCCCACCCACATGGGCTCCAACGCCGGATTGCCGATCCCAGGACCCAAAAGAGATGCGACCACCCTCACTGGCAGTCGTCCAACAGTGGGCGAGGTGGCGTGACCGAAACAGAGAGATGGCTGGATGTAAGAGAACCGTCAATCGAGGATCAATAGGTGCTGTAGTGCATACAAAGTTAAAGATTTTCGTTTTTTCAACCCGTACAGCATACGGTGCAACCTGGTTGGCGCTCCAATCCACCTCCCAAGCTCAATGGAAGTGCTCTGGGTGATAACTACCAGGCAAGAGAGCTGTCCACATGCTAGTGTGGCTCCTTGGATATGAACGTAGACCTGAGCAACTACCATCGAAGGTTTGAACCCCAGCGTGCTCGACACTATTGCTTTCCTGTGACGCGACCCCATGAAGTATTTATAATGGTCCTCCCATCTCTGCTCATTGCTCACCACGGATAGTTTTTTGATGCGTTCGCTACCTCTCGCTCTGTACCTTACGGGCGCTCAGCAAAGACTTGATGTCCGTAGATCCTTTGGATGGTGGCCCTGACGTTCCGACGAGCGCACACATTAGAGAATAATTTAGAAATATAGCACTAAAAACCCTTCTGGACCAGCGTGACATGCGGAGCATTTCGAAGCTCATTTGGTTGCGACACCCTGGACCGCGGGTTTCAGCGGTCCCAATGGGGAACCAGAATAGGTTCCCCATTGGGATTGCTGAAACCCGCGGGCCAGGGTGTCGC